CAGCAGCCGCAGCCGCAGCAGCAGCAGCAGCAGCAGCACCAGCGGCCGCACCAGCAGCCCCCCCTACTGCCACTGCCCCCGGTTCCCCCCCCCGTTCGGGTCCCCGCGTCTCACCAGGTTGCTACGTCCCCCCAGGTGTCTGTGTCGTGTCAGGTTCCTCCGTCTGTTCCAGTCGCTGCGTCGTGCTCCTGCCGGTCGCTTGCCCACCCCACCGTTCTGTGGCACCACCGGATGGGGCACCCGTCCCTTCCACGTCTGCGCGCTATGTCTAGTCAGCGTCTTGTCCTAGGCCTCCCACGTGTCTTGCCGTCGCTGCCGCCTTCGCCTGCGCCGCCGTGTCGTCCCTGCGTCGAGGGTAGGCTGCGCGCCACCCCTCACTCCTCCTCCCTTCGTCCGGCCACCGAGCCTTTTGAGACGCTTCACTTGGACGTCTGGGGCCCAGCCCCTCGTCTAGGCCCTGAGCGTGAGCGTTACTTTCTGGTGGTCGTTGACGACTTCTCCCGCTACACCACAGTGTTCCCTCTGGCGAAGAAGTCTGAGGTGACTTCTACGCTGATCAGGTGGTTGCTCACCACCGAGGACACTCGTGGTCGTCGTGTCAGCTGTCTCCACTCCGACCGTGGGGGTGAGTTTCGCTCCGGCATTCTCGCTGGATTCTGTCGCGAGCAGGGCATTCGTCAGTCCTGGACGCTTCCAGAGTCCCCACAGCAGAATGGGGTTGCTGAGCGCCGCATAGGCCTGGTCATGGAGATCGCCCGCACCTCCCTGACTCACGCCTGTGCCCCCCATTTTCTGTGGCCCTACGCGGTCAGGTACGCCGCGCACCAGCTGAACCTCTGGCCACGTGTCTCTCGACCAGAGGTTTCACCGACCAGTCTTTGGACAGGGTTCCCTGGTGTTGCGTCGCGGTTTCGTGTCTGGGGGTGCTTGGCTCTTGTCCGCGACACCTCCGCGGACAAGCTCTCGCCTCGTGCCGTCCCCTGTGTCTTCCTTGGTTTCCCTGAGGACTCCTCTGACTTCACCTTTTACCACCCTCCCTCTCACCGGTTCTTTGACTCCCGTGACGTCCGTTTCGAGGAGTCCACTCCGTACTACGTCAGGTACCCCAGTCGAGGTCTCCCGGTTCCTCCTCCCCCCCTCTTCCTGACTGCCGTTCCCCCTCCTGCTCCCCCGGTACAGCCTCCCCCCCCTGGTCCAGCCCCGTCAGGTGTGTCCCAGGCTACCCCTCCTCCTTCGGTAGCCCCTCCGGTACAGCCTCCCTCCCCACAGTCCTCCTCGCAGCGTGCCGCTGGTGCTAGCTCTCGAGAGGTTGGTGCGACGCCTGTTCCTGTACCGGTTTCTGGTTCTGGGGGTGCTGGAGTTAGAGCTGGAGTTGGAGCTGGAGTTGGAGCTGGAGTTGGCACTGGAGTTTCTGGTTCTGGGGGTGCTGGAGTTGGAGCTGGGGTTGGAGCTGGAGTTTCTGGTTCTGGAGTTGGAGCTGACCAGGTGGGTGCAGAGGACGCTTGTCGTCCGGGAGCTGGTGCTGGCCGCGCGGACACTGGGGGTGCTGCGTCTGGGGGTGAGGGTGCGCCTCCTTTGGGTTCAGGTGAGCCTGGGTCTGGAGCTGGTGTTAGTGCTGCCTCTGGGGGTGGTGAGCCTAGTTCTTCTGGAGTGGACTCTGGAGCTGCCGCTGCTTCGGACACTACTCCGCCCCCCCACCCCTACCCGACTAGGCACCAGGCTCGTGTTCGCCGTGCCCGTGACGATCAGCTGGCGTTGGAGAGAGAGGAGAGGGAGTTACAGCGGCTGGAGGAGCAGCAGCAGCAGCTGGACCCGCAGGAGCAGCAGTCCCAGCAGCAGCCGCGTCCGCAGCAGCAGCAGTCGCAGCCGCAGCAGCAGCAGCCACTTCCTCCTCCTGTCTCGGGTCTTCGGATCCTTGGTCTCCCCTCCCCTTCTCCTCCCTCCTCCGCCTCTCCTCCTGTCTACGGTCCCACGTTTCCTCCTCCTGACTCCTCCCCCGCTGTTTTCCCCAGTTCTCCGCCCTTGTCCTCTTCTCCTCCGTCTCGTTCTTGGGCTACTCGTCGCTCCCCTCGTGCTCGTCCCTCGTCTCCTGTTCCCTTCACTGACCTTCGTACTGCCTTCCTTCTTTCTAGTCCACCTCGTCCGTCTCAGTCTGTGCTTCCGTCTCCTCCTGAGTCGGCCCTCACTGTGTCGCTCCCTACTCCTGTCACTGACTACTACCGCACGTACCGTCCTGTTCTCTCTCGTGTTCTCGCCTCTCTTGTTACTCACCCTCGTGCCTCTGTGTCCTCTGTGTCCGCTCTTACTGCCGCAGTTACTGACTTTGCCTCTACCCGCCGCCTTGACTACGCCACCACGCTTGTGGCTGCTCCTCCTACCAGTCCTCTGGCCGTCGGGGGTGTGTCTGCCCTTGGCCGTGACGCCCTAGAGGACAGGCAGTTTGAGCTAGAGTTCCTGGCGGCCGCTTCCCCTCATCTCTGTGCCATGCTCCTCGCCCCTGAGGGTGACCCCGACGCCCTTGACATTCCGACTCCTCGCACTTACGCTGAGGCAGTGTCAGGGCCTTGGGCCTCTCAGTGGAGAGCTGCCATGGACGCAGAGATGGCCTCCTACAGATCCACAGGCACCTACGTCGATGAGGTTCCCCCCCCGGGGGCGAACGTAGTCGACGGCATGTGGATCTACAGGGTGAAGCGGCCACCGGGATCTCCCCCGGTCTTCAAGGCGCGCTACGTGGCTAGAGGTTTCAGTCAGCGCGAGGGAGTTGACTTCTTTCAGACCTTCGCACCTACCCCGAAGATGACCACTCTTCGGGTGTTACTACACGTAGCAGCACAGAGAGACTACGAGTTACACTCTCTTGACTTCTCCACTGCTTTCCTTCAGGGCAGCCTACACGAGGAGGTCTGGTTGCGTCGTCCCTCGGCCTTCACTGGCACCTTCCCTCCTGGGACCCAGTGGAGGCTGAGGCGACCTGTTTACGGTCTTCGCCAGGCCCCTCGTGAGTGGCACGACACTCTGCGTTCTACCCTCTCTGACCTTGGGTTCCAGCCGTCTTCTACCGACCCGTCGCTGTTCGTTCGTCGTGGCTCCACACCGTTCTTTGTTCTGGTTTACGTCGACGACCTCGTTTTCGCCACTCCGGACAGGGTTGCTTTGGCAGACGTGAAGTCCGAACTGCAGAAGAGACACACGTGCACTGATCTTGGTGAACTGCGCCACTACCTTGGCCTGCAGATCACCAGGGACAGAGCCGCTCGCACCATTACACTCTCACAGTCACACATGGTGCAGCAGGTCCTTCAGCGGTTCGGGCTTCAGCACTCCACCGTACAGCGCACACCTCTAGCTGTTGACCACAGACTCACTGGTCCCTTTCCTGACGAGCCGTTTGAGCCTAGTGGTCCCTACGCAGAGCTTGTGGGTTGCCTCATGTACCTGATGACTTGTACTCGCCCGGACCTCGCCTTCCCTCTCAGCATCCTTGCGCGCTTTGTTGCGCCAGGGAGACACCGTCCTGTTCACTGGACGGCAGCTGTGAGGGTGGCGAAGTACCTAGCGACTACATCAGGCGTGGGGCTAGTTCTTGGAGGGCAGCAGTCTGTCGTACTCACTGGTCACTGTGACTCCTCTTACGCTGACGACGCTGAGACTCACAGGTCTACTCAGGGGTACTGTTTCAGTCTGGGTTCTGGAGCTGTTTCCTGGCGTTCCACGCGCTCCTCTTCTGTCTCGACCTCTACAGCTGAGGCTGAGATTTACGCTGGTGCCATGGCGGCACAGGAGTTGCGGTGGTTGACCTTCTTGCTCACTGACCTTGGTGAGCGGCCGAGCTCTGCACCGACCTTGTTTACTGACAACAAGGCGTCGATCCTCCTCTGTCGTGAGCCGCGACTGGAGAGCAGAGTGAAGCACATTCACATCAGGTACTTTCTTCTGCGAGAGTTGCAGAGGCGTGGACAGGCTCGCTTCGAGTTCGTAGAGTCCGAGGCCAACACTGCAGACATCTTCACCAAGGCGCTTCCGCCTTGTGACCACCAGAGGTGTTGTGTGCAGTTAGGCCTTGTTGACACAGGTTCTAGTCATGCGTAGACTTGAGTTTATTGCCTGCTTCGTCTGTACATTTACTATATATACTTGTGATCTCTTGGACTGGCCTTGTGGCCACTGTTGCTTGTGCTCAGAGTGTGTGGTGACGTTGTGATCCACCCTGAGCTTTGTTTTCTTTTGGACTGGTCTTGTGACCGTACTCTTTTTGTTTTTGCTAGACACCCCTCACTTAGGCTATGGGGGTGTGTCAAATGTTGTAGCCTGTAGTGAGGTTTGTCTTAGGGGGTACAGAAGTTAGGGTTTGTCATATGTACCCCAACCAACATCAATGCAACACTCATTCCTCATTCTGACAGTCCGGAGCGCGGGTTACCGCCGAGCCGTGAGGTCGGGGTGCGACATGCGAAAAAGTGGCGGGCGGATTATCGATGCGAGTGGTAACGGTGCTGACTGAGGTGCTACAGTGATGTACGCGGTGAGCAGGGATGCGAAGTAAGGAAAAAGGGATTTTCCTTACACCGTACCACTGTAGTTTCGCTATATATTCTTAGCTATGCCTTCTCTCATTGTACTTTTGCTTCGATAGTGCAATTCTCGCTCGCTCACTCAATTGCACTAGTAACACCACCACACACTGTACATGGGTGGGAGCCGATGGTTTATATGAAAGGCGTTCAGTTGCTGCACCGAGCGAGAGGATCCTTCCAGAAGTCGTCCGTGTCGCTACTTTTCCAAGCTTCTCACGGCTGTGCTTTCCCCATCTTGCCTGCACCCGCGTCCGTGCGACCGTCCTCGCTGCCTCGCAAGCACTCCACCCTCTCGTCCACAAATTCCGTTCTTAACGCCAAAGCGGATCATCTCTCGATCCGCGCAAGTCCTCTCATGCTTCGCCACGCGCGCTCTCGCGGCCTCGCCAGGCTCCCGCCGCCCACGCGCGGCGGCGCGGCGATATGCGGCACTCACAGCGCTGGTGGGTTGTCGCAGCGCACATTCACACGCCGATCGCCGTTCATTGCGCTACGAGAGCCCGCCTCGCACGGCGCTCGGCCGCATGGCCGCAGCAGCAAGGCGGCAGTGCATTGACTCTATTGTCCTCCCCGCTCCTGTCATCGCTGCCACACGCTTCGCCCTGCGTCCCTCGCTTGTCGGTCACCCTTCGCCTTCCGCAATTCCTTTCCTCTTCTCTTCCCACTGCCCTCGACGGCTCGTCACTCCCCTTTTCCGCGTGTGCAGGCGACGGATGCGCGACGGGCGCACCATCAGGCGGGCAGGAGATTCAACGGGACGCGCGCACGCATGTCTCGTCCACGCAAGTCGCGAGCAGCCACGTCGCAGCAGCGGAGGTGCTGTGGAGAGCAGAGCGGTCAGGGGCGGTGTGTGGCGGTGAACGGGCGGCAGCATGCAGCCACGCGGCAGCTGAGGGCGCAGAGAGGGCGGGCGGCATGCGTGGCGCCGCGCCCCAACCCCTCCACACGCCATCCCTTCTCCGCCTCACTCCACTGAGCCCCGCCCATTCCCGTAGCGTCCACTGCAACCTCCACCGCGTGTTTCACGCCGCCCCTCACTGCCTCTCAGCTCGCGCCGCTCCATTCGCCGCTTCCAATCCACTTGAATCAGCCACTGCCACGTGGCAGCGCAGCTCGCTCTTTCACCGTGCCTTCCACGCGTCAGGTGCGCTGCCAGCTGGCGCCAGCTGTGAGAGCATGTGCGTCCTGTGCGGTGGGGTGGGCTGTGGTTGGAGGCGGTGGGGTGGTGTTTTGTGGCGGCGTGTGATGGGGTGTGTGGTATGTATATGTGCACATGCGTATGTGAGTGCACGTGTGTGGATGTGAGCTGGTTGGTATGTGTGTGTGACTATGAGTGCGTTTGAGTGAGTGTGAGTATGGCTGAATAATTGTGAGTGTGGGTGTGATTGTGAATGTAAGTGGGCCATAGCAGCAGTTTCATTCGTATTCTTCCCACCTTGTCCTTTCCATCCGCCCCTCGCTTGCCTCTCACTCCCAGGCGCCGCAGCGGCAGCGGCAGCAGCAGCGGGGGGAAGGGGGCGGGATTACTATGCGGTGTTGGGGGTGTCAAGGAAGGCAACGGCCGCCGAAATCAAAAAGGCCTTCTATGCGGTTCGTGCCGTCATGCCACCATACAAATACCACTATGTGCTCGCTAGCGTCATTGCTTGCTGCGACTCGTTGCATCCCTTTCACGGTATACTGGGCGCGTCTTTGACATGATGCCCTCGTCTTTGCCCCCCGCTCCTCCTGCTCCCCCCTGCCCCTCCCTGCATGGCCTGCTCCCCCCCGCTCCTCCTTCGCTGTGGTGCGCCGTGGTGTGTGGTGGTGTGTGGTGGGGTGGCAGCTGGCGAAGAAGTACCACCCGGACGCGAACAAGGACGACCCCAATGCAGCCAAGAAGTTCCAAGAAGTGCAGCAGGCGTACGAGGTAGGGAGGGGGGGGTGGTGGCAGCAGGCAGTGGGAGGAAGGTGGCAGGGCAGGGCTGGTGTGGGCTCATCTCATCGCATGTGCGCTTCCTTCTCCGCCCTACGTGCTGCTCTCGTCTGTCTCTGCCATTGTACTGTGTGAATTTGAAGTGCCACTTGCTTCCTTGTTCGCGTGCCGCCCTGCATGCTGAACTTTCATCTATGCGTGCCATGTGTGTGACATGTGTGTGATATGTGTGTGAGCAAGTGTGTGCATGTGTGTGCGTGTGTGCGTGTGTGTGCGTGTTTGTGCATGTGCCTGTGCGAGTGTTTGTGTGTGTCTCCACACAGGTGCTAAAGGATGATGAAAAGAGGGCCATGTACGATCAGGTATGCCATGTACGATCAGGTATGCCATGTACGATCAGGTATGCCATGTACGATTAGGTATGCCATGTACGATCAGGTATGCCATGTACGATCAGGTATGCCATGTACAATTAGGTATGCCATGTACGATCAGGTATGCCATGTACGATCAGGTATGCCATGTACGATCAGGTATGCCATGTACGATCAGGTATGCCATGTACGATCAGGTATGCCATGTACGATTAGGTATGCCATGTACGATCAGGTATGCCATGTACGATCAGGTATGCCATGTACAATTAGGTATGCCATGTACGATCAGGTATGCCATGTACGATCAGGTATGCCATGTACAATTAGGTATGCCATGTACGATCAGGTATCCGCATGACGCATCCATGCACATGATCCGTCGCATTTATTCTCCTTTCTACCCCACTCACTTCCTTGTGCTGTTTTCATATTTCTTTTGCGTGCACGCCCTTACAGCTTGCCTCGCTCTCCGTGCCCCTCGGCCCTCCCCTTCCGCTTTCTCCTTGTTCCCCCTCGTCCACCCTGTCTCCTGTCTCCCTGCTATCCGCACCTCCTCCCCCACCTGCCGCCCCAGGTTGGACCGGAGGCGTTTGAGGGGGGGGCAGCAGGGGGCCCAGGCGCAGGGGCGGGTGCTCAGGGCTTCGGCGGATTCTCTGGCTTCGGAGGGCCGTCGGACTTCGAAGAGGTCTGTGCACTCACTGCACCGCACTGCACCGCACAGGCACTGCATTGCACTGCATGTCACATGCGGGTGGAGCTGCCAGTGGCACTCCATCTGTCACCAGCACCTGCTTCTCCCACCCCATGCCTGCACCGCACTTGCTGCCCCCCATGCCCCCCTCCTCCCCTACTTCCGTTCACCTGCCCCGCTCCCCTCCCACCCTTGCCCCGGCTCCCCCAGATGCTGGGCGGCATCTTTGGGCACATGGGCGGCATGGGCGGCATGGGTATGGGCATGGGCATGGGGGCGGCGGGGCCGAAGGGGGGCGAGAGTGTGCAGATGGCGGTGAGGCTGACGCTGAGGGAGGCTGTGGACGGCTGCTCGCGCCACCTCTCCTTCTCTGCTCCCGCGCGCTGCTCCTCCTGCAGTGAGTGCTCTCTGCTGCTCCTCCTGCAGTGAGTCCTCTCTGCTGCTCCTCCTGCAGTGAGTGCTCTCTGCTGCTCCTCCTGCAGTGAGTGCTCTCTGCTGCTCCTCCTGCAGTGAGTGCTCTCTGCTGCTCCTCCTGCAGTGAGTGCTCTCTGCTGCTCCTCCTGCAGTGAGTGCTCTCTGCTGCTCCTCCTGCAGTGAGTGCTCTCTGCTGCTCCTCCTGCAGTGAGTGCTCTCTGCTGCTCCTCCTGCAGTGAGTGCCCCATGCTGCTCTGCCTGTGCTGATGCGAAACAGCACTCTCTGTTATCAGTCTGCCCAATTTCTCTGTTGAGGTGAGCATGAAAACAGTCTAGATGTCCACGTGAATCCACCTGTGACTCGTTTCAAATGCGGCACGTCCCCTCCCTGCCTCTGTGTGTTGCTCGCCCACCTCGCTCTCCCCCTTATTGCAGGCGGATCAGGCATGCCCAAGGGGTACCAGCCCACCCCATGCAAGGCGTGCAAGGGGCAAGGCATGGTCAGTACCGCACCCCCTCCCCTGGCTCCCCCTCCCCTGGCACCCCCTCCCCTGGCTCCCCCTCCCCTGGCTCCCTCTCCCCTTCTCCCCGCCTCTCCTCTCTGTCCTCGCATAAATGTGCCCTTCCGTCGCCCAACCACACAACTCCTGTGTTCCCTCTAACCACACGTGGTGGGAACAGGAGATGCGGCGGATGGGGGCGTCAGTGGTGATGCAGACGTGCTCCTCCTGTGGCGGCCAGGGCGTCTTTGTCAAGGTGCGCGCACTGCTTCCTGTGTGCCGCTTCTGCGTATCACTCCGTTTGCTCACCTTCCCATTATCCTTAATTCTTCTCAACCCCTTGTCGCTTGGCTCTTGTCCTTTCCCTAAATCTGCCCTCCCATGTGTACCCTCTCGTTCCACATAATATCACGGCATCATGAGACCATGGCACTCTGACACTATGGCATCCTGGCATCATGTATGCATGCATGCACACATCAGGAGTGGTGCAAGACATGTCATGGGGAGGGCACAGTGAAGGAGAGGCGGGAAGTGGATGTCTCCATACCAGCAGGTGGGTTGGTGGGATGGGAATAGATGGTTGGTGGGAATAGATGGTTGGTGGGAATAGATGGTTGGTGGGAATAGATGGTTGGTGGGAGTAGATGGTTGGTGGGAATAGATGGTTGGTGGGGGAGTAGATGGTTGGTGGAGAACATGGGATGGGGTGGCAGCAGCAGGGAGGATGAGCCATTCCCTGGGAGCACTGCAACCGGCTCAACCTGCCCATCCTCTTTCATCCTCCCACTCCCTGCCGCCCACCCTTGCACCGTTCACATCCTCTTGCGGCTCCATTCCATTCCTCCGTCTCTACGAACCCTTCTTTTCCCATCAACTCCTTCCACTCCTCGTCCCACCTCCCCCCTCTTCCCTTTCCCTCCCTCCTCTCCCCTGTCTCAACACGGGTGTGGGGTGGCGAGCAGGGGTGGACTCGGGAGTGACTCTGAGGGTGCCGGGGCAGGGAGGCGCAGGGGGGAAAGGGGCTCCACCTGGGGACCTGCTGCTGAACATTCAGGTGACCTGCTGCTGAACATTCAGCTTCATCCTGTGCAGGTGCTGCCAGCTGGTTTGTCATCTCCCTCAGCCACTCACTCCCCCCTGCACCATGCCCCGTCCCCCTGCCCCGTGCCGCATGCCCCTTGCCCCATGTCCCTGCCCCGTGCTCCATGCTCCATCCCCCGTGCGCCATGCGCCATGGCACAGGTGGAGGAGGACGCGGTGTTCAAGAGGGACGGCAACGACATCCACGTCGACCTCCACGTCTCCTTCCCCCAGGTGCCGCCTCCCCCACTCCTCCTCATGCTCCCTGTCCTATCATGTGCGATGTGAACCATCTCTCGTTCCCATATGTATCCTCCCAGCCCTACGTATCCTGCCCTTGTTTTCCCTGCCTGAACATCGTACCCCCTCTCCTCTCCTGCTTGCGCCTCCAAGCCACAACTCACGGCCCCCTTACGCCCCTGCCATTGCCCATGCCACCGCCCCTGCTATTGCCCCTGCCATGGCCCGTGTGCGTGCCAGGCGTGTCTGGGAGCATCAGTGCCGGTGCCAACACTCTCCGGGGAGGTCATCCTTAAGGTGCTGCTGCTCATGCCATGCCATGCCATGCCATACCATGCCATGCCATACCATGCCATACCATGCCATACCATGCCATGCCATACCATGCCATGCCATACCATACCATGCCATGCCATGCCATGTTGATGCAGTTACACGCCACTTGGGTCGATGCATTGACTTCACGCTGTTGCCATTGCCTGGAAGCATTTGCGTCCCACACTCGCAGTTTGTTAGCCACTTGGCGTGCACATGCCTTGCTCATGCTGCAATGCACATGCCTTCCCCTTACCACCATGCACGTGCCTTGCTGCCAATGCGGTGTGCATGCAGATCAAGCCGGGCACGCAGCCAGGCCAGGTGCTCCAGCTGCGCGATAAAGGTGCGCCACCTTGCAATGCACCCAGAATTGCCCTTGCTCACCCCATGTCTGCCCATCTGCTCCACCGCTAGTCTGCTGCCTTCAACCATACGGTTTCCTGTTTGCTGTGCACCCATGGCATTTTCACTCCCACATTCGTACCCTTTCACTTACCTCCATCTCACTTCCCCGTCTCTTCCTCCCATCTCTTCCCCACTCTCCCTCTCCCCCTTCCATCCCTCCCACTGCCCACGCCCAGGAGTGCGATCCGCCACGAGTCGCCGAGTGGGGAGTCAGTTTGTGCACGTCAATGTCGCCGTGCCCACGTGCGTCTGCTGCCCACTCGCCCCTCCGCTCCTCCCTCATTGCCCCTTCCCCCCTACTTCACTGCTCCTCTTCTCACCTCCATCGTTGCCCCTCCTCGCACTTCTCTGGTTGCCCCTCCTCTCACCTCCCTTATTGCATGCACATCCTCTGACTCTCTGCTTTGCTCTTGGCTCTGCTTTTCTGATTCAGCCTTGCACCCACGCCCACCACGGATCCTCTCGCACTGCCTGTGCCCTGGCCTGGCCACCCATCCCACCATGACCGTGCAGGGAGCTCACGGAGCGGCAGAGGAAGCTGCTGGAGCAGTGGGAGAAGGAGGGGGATGGGGGGGCGCAGGGAGAGCAGCATGGCAAGGAGGATGCGGATGGCGGGGCAGCGGAGGAGACGAGTGGAGGGGACAAGAAAGAGGACGGGGAGGGAGGTAAGGAGAAGAAGAAGCGAGCCTGGGGTCTATGGTAGAGCAAGAGCGAGTTGGCTGCAGTGGCGTGTCATGCGGTGCTTGGAGGAATGCACGGGTTCAAGGGCTCTGGGGCAAGCAGCAGCACAATGACTGCTTTTTGTGCCAGCCTCTCGCTCCGCCTGTGCCCTGCCATGTCACGAGGCTGTGGAGGCCGGCACTGTTTCCAGTCCCAATTAGCCATGGCAGCATGTTGGCATGGCGCTGAGCTGAGCACAGGCAGAAGTTTCGAGTCATAGCTTGAGTCATCTCTTGATTACTGTAGAAGGTTAATGTGACCCATACCCCCCCAAGAGATGTTGAGAGCTCTGAGTTAGGAAGTTAGTGTTGGGCTGAAAATTTCAGCCTTAGGATCTTTGCAGAGAATAGGCTAGTAGGTGCTAAAGTAGCACAGCGGAAGTCTTGAGTGAATGTACTTGTGCTGGTATGTGAGAACAAGTAATTGATTAAAGCAAAGGGCATACAAGAATATATAGAAAGGATAGATTACAAGAAGCGGTTATGTTTATCGAGACGCGTAACGCTTCGACTATCGAGGTGGTTACTGTTCACTGAAGCGTCGCTTGCTGTTACGTAACCTCCAGGCGGTTACAGCTCGCAACCTCCAGTTGCGGTTTGATGTGGTACGCGCCTTTTCGACTTCGTACTCCTTTTGTTGTGCTTCAGTATCGGGTGAGGTTCGATACTACAGAAACGCACTAAGTCATGCGTTTATTTTCCCAACAGTTAGGGGGGGTACATACCGTATTGTCATTGCAAGATAGTATGGTGAGTTGCGAGAGTTGCCTACGCTACTGTTGTAATTATGCATACTTTCATCCAACATGGCAATTTATGTACTGTATAAGCCGTGCACTGAATCTTGCATGCAGCCAGAAGAAACATGAGCAGCAGCTACATTCGATACAGTGGTTCGTACTTGTTACGAGTGCAATTGAGTGAACGAACGAGAATTGCACTATCGAAGCAAAGAGTACAATGAGCGAAGGCATGAGCGAAGGGTTATATAGCGAAAACAATAGTGGTAACGGTAATGGACTGTGGTTGTCGCGCGACGAGCCTGGGGCTGAGGTTGGGAAAGTGTCGAAGCGTAGGCCCGGAGCGCGGGTTACCAGCCGAGCCGTGAGGTCGGGATGCGATGTGCGAAGAGGGCGGGATAATGAATGATGCGATGGTCGTGAGTGGTAACGGTGCTGACTGAGGTGCTACAGTGACGTACGCGTTGAGCAGGGACGCGAAGTAAGGAAAAGGGAATTTCCTTACACTACCCCCCCTCCCCAAGGAGGCCCCTCTTACGAGAGCGCGTGGACGTCGCGGAAATTTCGGCTTCGCAGATACTCGGGGAAGACAGGGTGGTTCTCAATTTTATCCAGGGGGACCCAGTTATCTTCTGTGGGCGTTCGGTCCTTCCAGCGAATTAGGAACTCTATCCTTCGGGCTCCCCGAGGGTCGCGGACTCGGTGGCTGAGGATTTTTTCAGGGGTGATGAGTGGTTCGGTTGGGGGACGTGTCATGCTGGCTGGGCGATTTCGTGGCAGTTGGCTCGTGGATGGGATGTAAGGGCGAAGTAGGCTGACGTGGAATGACGGGCTGACGTACCAGTCAGCAGGGAGGAGGAGGTGGGCGGTGACGGGTGTGATCATGTGGCTGATGCGGAATGGCCCACAATACCGGGGGCGAAGTTTTGGAGTGATGGGCAGGCGAAGATTCTGAGTGTCGAGTAATACGAGGTCGTCGGGCTGATAAGTAACGGGTCTGCGATGTCGATCGGCGTTTCGTTTAGCGATGATGTTTGATTTTTTGATTGCTTCTGCTGCCCTGGTTCGTGCTGCTTGCAGAATCTCGGCGAACTGTTGTGCTCGTGGGACTGGGTTGTCGGGATTCGGTGTCATGGGTACTGTTGGGTCCTGTCCGTAATTCAAATAAAACGGCGTCTGTTGCGTCGTGGCTGATGGTGCGTTATTGTATGCGAATTCGATAAGTGGCAGCTGCTGTTCCCACGTATTCGGGTCGTCGCACGTGGCTCGAATCAGCTGCTCCATGGTCTGATTTGTCCGTTCCGTCTGTCCGTCGGTTTCGGGGTGATAGGATGAACTGAACTGTAAGCGCGTACCGAACTGCTGCCACAGGTTCCGCCAGAAGTTGCTGGTAAATTTCGTGTCCCTGTCGCTGATGATCGACGCGGGTATCCCGTGCAGTCGTACGACGGTGGAGATGAATAGTCGGGCGGTTTCTTCTGTGAAATGAGTAAGCAGGAATGAATGAACTATGAATGAAAGCAGTACAAATATGAAACCCTAACTGGGTTGTACCCCCTATGGGATACCCCACTACAGCCTACACAGCAGTATAAGCTATAGATATGTTCTGACACACCCCCATAGGCAAAGTGGGGGAGAACAAGGGGTCACAAGACCAGTCAAGCAAGACAAAGCAAAGCTCAGGGTGGATCACAAAGTCACCACACAGTCCGAGCACAAGAGCAAGGCCAAAGGCCAGTTCACAAGCAAGAGTACAGACATATATATAAAGCTAGACAAGCAAGAGCAGGTATATATATATGTCACAGTACAAGTGAAGTCAAGAGGAGAGCAAGTGAGGCAAGACAGGCACAAGACCCAGCTGGGTGCAGAAGCGCTGATGGTCACAAGGCGCAAGTGCCTTGGTGAACACATCAGCAGTGTTGGCCTCAGAGGCCACGTACGCAAGTCGCAACTGACCACGCTGCTGCAGCTCACGAGCAAGGAAGTAGCGGAGAGCAATGTGCTTCGTTCTGTGCTCCAAGCGCTGCTCTCGACACAAGGCCAGCATAGCCTTGTTGTCTACGTACAGCACTGGAGGAGAACGAGGCGGCTCTCCAAGGTCAGTCAGCAGGTAGGTGAGCCAGCGAAGCTCCTGTGCAGCCATGGCCCCGGCGTAGATCTCAGCCTCACAACTGGAGCCGAGAACCGAAGACGAGCGAGTAGACCGCCACGAGACAGAGCCGGAACAAAGGCTGAAGGTGTAACCCTGTGACGACCGCTGCGTAGCCTGGTCGTCAGCCCAAGACGCGTCCGCGTGGCCGGTAAGGACCACTGGACCCCGCCCTCCAAGCACTAGCCCCATGCCTGACGTACTGCACAGGTAGCGCAATACCCTCTTCGCTGCAGCCATGTGCTCCGGTCTGTGTCTCCCAGGAGCAACATAGCGTGCAAGAATGCTCAGAGGGTATGCAAGGTCAGGTCGTGTGCAGGTCATCAGGTACATGAGGCAGCCAACAAGCTCCGCATACGGACCACTCGACTCTACGGACTCATCCGAAGGCAGAGCTGAGAGTGAGTGGCGAGTAGGCAGAGGAGTGGCCTGAGGCGAGGAGTACGTGAAGCCGAAGCGCTGAAGGACCTGCTGCACCATGTGTGACTGAGTCAAGGTAATGGTGCGGCGTGCTCTGTCCCGAGTGATCTGCAAGCCAAGGTAGCTGCGCAGTTCACCCAGGTCTGTGCACGTGTGTCTCTTCAACAGCTCGGACTTCACGTAGGCGAGTCCAGCAGTGTCCGCTGTGGCAAAGACCAGGTCGTCGACGTACACGAGGATGTAGAACGGCGGCAGGGAAGTGTCGGTGCGAAGAAACAGCGACGGGTCAGCAGTAGAAGGAGCAAACCCAAGAGCCGCAAGCGTAGTCCTCAGTGTGTCGTGCCACTCACGCGGTGCCTGGCGGAGACCGTAGACTGGCCGTCGGAGGCTCCACTGGGTGCCAGGAGGGAAAGTCCCAGTGAAGCCAGGTGGACGGCGAAGCCAGATCTCCTCGTGCAGGCTACCCTGCAAGAACGCAGTGCTGAAGTCGAGAGAGTGAAGCTCGTAGTCGCGCTGAGCGGCTATGTGCAGCAGCACCCGAAGAGTAGTCATCTTCGGGGTGGGAGAGAAGGTCTGAAAGTAGTCAACTCCCTGCCGCTGACTGAAGCCACGAGCAACGTACCGTGCCTTGAAGACAGGTGGAGAGCCCGGCGGCCGCTTCACCCTGAGATCCACATGCCACTGACGATGTTCGCCCCAGGAGGGGGAACCGCGTCAACGTAGGTGCCTGTGGACTTCCAGGAAGCCATCTCTGCATCCATAGCTGCCTGCCACTGAGAGGAGTAGGGACCCTCTACGGCCTCCGCGTAAGAACGCGGAGTCGGGATGTCTAGTGCATCCGGGTCTCCCTCAGGGGCAAGCAGTACAGACGCGAGATGAGGTGAAGCAGCCGCTAGACACTGTAACTCCTCCTGCCTGTCCTCTAGGACGTCTGTGCCAAGAGCACACTCACCCCCGACGGACGGAGGACAGACAGACGCAGACTCAGCAACAAGACTAGCAGCGTAGTCGAGACGACAGCGAGCAGCAAAGTCGACGAGCTCAGCGACTAGAGCAGACGCAGCAGTGGACTCAAAAGAGGGGTCAGTGACGACAGTAGCAAGCAGACGCGTGACAGTGGGACTGGCAGCACGAAGAGAGTCCGACTCAGGGTCCGCAAGCGCAGGAAGAGAGGACTCAGGAGGAGAAGGCAAAGGGGCACGCAGAGGA